ATGTCTGTGTGTGTAGGTAGGAATCTGTAATCTGTGTGGAAGCTGAATATTTCTCTGAATGTGGTTAAGCATTGCTATGGACAGGCTGAGTAGCGAAGCCCTGTGGAACAATGGCTCTCAATGGGCTATGGACACACCCAAAGAACGGGGTTTGTCACCTGAGGGCAGCCAGCAGGGAACATAGAGATTGGCCTCTGACCAGGTGACTTGCTGCATACAAGAAGAGGCCAGGAAGGAGGTATAAAGAGGCCATGCGGTCGAGGCCATTTTGTTCTCAGCTCAGCACTTCATCCCAGAGGCAGCATTGCAGGGATCGAAGAGCCCGGAAGACCTGTGAACCCATCCTGATCTTAGGATGTGCAATAAGAACTTTTAAACCAGCAGCTGCAACACCTCTGCTAGAGCCTGCATCGAGAACTGGGAGATTCGGTGCATGTAACGTACTGTACTTTAATAACCTTACTCTCATGTTTTTCTTTATTGTAATAATAAACCTTTAGATATATATTCTAAAGGATTGGCCCAGCGTGATTTGTGGGTAAGGTCCAGAGGGTAAATTGACCAGGGATCTGTGGCTGGTTTCTTGGAACCGGACAGAACTTGTTCGGGGTGCTAGGACCCCCCCCACCTGTGTATGAGGCCCGGGGCCATCTAAGGCACGGATATTGCTGGGGCGTCAGAGGGGTTTTGCTCGTGAGGCTTCAGGCAGGCAGCTGAAGCGCTCTGTGAGACTGGTTTGTGGCCTGTTTGGAGAGGTCGCCAGTCAAGGGGGCTGTAAGGAGCCCCGGATTTGAGCAATTCGCCCTGAGCGGACACCCTCAGCTGTGCCCAGACACTGCCTGGTCCGTCACCCCTCCCCCCCATATTATATTAAACTTACATTTTTTCCTTCTTTTTCTTCACTTTTATTTCCATCTGGTCATCACTGTTGGTATCTCAGCTCATATGCACTGGATTTTACATATACTAGAGAGATTGTGGTGGATAGATCTTTGTGAAAGCATCATTTTTTTTCATACTAAGGTATGTCTTTTGAGGAATATGGATATTCAAATGTGATTGAGAAACATGAAGACATGAACTGTATATTCCCAGAATAGCGTGTCCATGGCACAGAATTTAGTTCAAGCTTGCCAAGCAACCAGGCATAGCTCCAGTTTACTATGTACATTCTCAATCTACTAATATAAAATAAGATTCCATTCCTGCAACTGACAGCATAAAGGCAGTCTGGTCCACTTATATGGAACACAGCATTTTATTTGCAGGTATATTAGAGAACTTTATTTTTAAAATACCACAGTATCGGAACTGGTAACAAATACTCAAAATCTAAAAAGAGTTATATTTTAGAATTTTTAAAATAAGGACATTATCTTGACTGTAAGTAATATATTATTAATTACAGTTACATACTTATGCAGCCCTAGTAATACAAATCTTTACCTTCACCCCAAATTCCAAATGGAAGAATATAATTATTTCATTCTCCATTTTGTATTAATTCAGTAACCCTTTACTATATATATTTTAGACTTGCAGCAATTTGTTTTAGACCTGGTCTGTCTAGAATAATGTAACTAGTAATTATTGACGGTATTAAAAATAGGGTATGTTTTATAATATCCACTTTAAATCCAAAACTATTTTAAATGGTCTGTTTAAACTTTACAGTAAGATGAAAGAGGAGATACTTAATGTTGTACCACTTTATAAAACACTGTATGTGTGTAATATTGTAAAACAAGTTAATGTAGGGTTAAAAATTACCACAACAATTGCTCAAATATCAGTGGGACTATTCATATTAGGTACAATTTAACATTGCTAAAAGTGCCTGTAACAGGTTCTTTCTTTGGTTTCAGTTTACATCACAAGGGGTGTAATTCAGGTAGCACTGTTCTATTATGCTAGCCATATTAAGGTTTAGATCATGTTCCATCCCAACATGGTTAAGATGAGGACAGGAGAAGTTGTCGTTGGCAAAATATGTTTAGCCTCCACAGCAGTAAAATCTATACATAAAACGTTTCTAGTCAACAGAGCCAAGTGGTACCTTTTAAAGCATACTATGTTGCTAACTGCATTGTGTCCACTGCCAACTGAATATAATCAAAGGTCCACTTCTTCCATATCGATTCATATTGAGTGGCACATTGTGACTAGTTAGAACCAGGAACTGGCTCTGTCACATTGAGCACTTCTGTTAACAACCTTATGCCTTAGTTGCTCATCTGAATAGTGTGACCTTCATTACCTCACAGGAGTTCTGTAAGAATTAGTATGTTTTTATTTAATGATTTAGGACTACTGCTGTGAGTAAAGGTTTATAGGATGAGACGGGATATCTGCAGAAAGTGGAAGTCCTCAGATGATTGGTACTATTATTTTCATAACCCAGCCCTAAGAGTATCACTGAAATGGCATTAAAGATGCTAGTTTGGCCCTTAGGTTCATCTCTTGCTTCATGCTTCTGAGATGAGGAACATTGTAGAATCAGTGCACTCAGCTCCTGGGCAGAAGAATGTGCCTGGAGTCCTTCTTCTTTAATCCCATCTAGCAGATCAAAGATTCACAATGCCATTTCATTAAACAGAACCAACTTTCTCCTGCTGTGACTAAAGGCACTTCAAAGCCTTAAGGCTATGAGAATGGGAGGAAACTAAGTGATCATTTGAGGGTCATAGAAGCTTGTAGAACCTGTATCTCCTACAACTCCATCCCAGTTATTCAAAATTAGTGGCTAATCCTACTATGTCTCCTAGATGTGTACTCTGAGAGAGTCAGGGTGGCTGAGTTGTAAGCCATCCTCTGACTGAGTACTGTACCTCTAGGCAAGTCTTTTTATCTTTGTCTCAATATTTTCATCTGTAAAGATATTCATTGTTCCTGACTCACAGAGGCGTTATGACAATTAATTCTTGAAAAACACTGTGGGGAAATGCTTTCCTTTGTACAAAAAAGAGGTGAGGTTTGTGGGTGATACACAAACCCAGGTGAGTGGGGACTCCCTGCACAGACCCTTCTATCTTTTCTCATTACAAACAAGTACCATAGTACAAAATACAGGACTATGTAGCACTTTAAAGACTAACAAGATGGTTTATTAGATGATGAGCTTTCGTGGGCCAGACCCACTTCCTCAGATCAAATAGTGGAAGAAAATAGTCACAACCATATATATATATCCTTTGGTAATAAACCATCTTGTTAGTCTTTAAAGTGCTACATAGTCCTGTATTTTGTTTCAGCTACACCAGACTAACACGGCTACATTTCTATCATAGTACAAAGTATTCTAGTCATTGTGTCATCAAGGTAGCTCCACTGCTGTCCTTTTCCCCCACCTCTTCCTACATGGATCCTTAATGACCATTCTAGATACTCAAGCTACTAGGGATGGTGCACTGAGTTGTTCCTATACGATCATTGACCTTAGTTCCTTAGAAATATAGTTGGGAATGTTCATGGGGATGGACGTACATAAACACACAAAGTGATTTAATAGTACAGAAAAGTGCTTTAGAAAATGGATAAGGAGAAGTGACATGATATCAAAAGAACTACCAAAAATGCTGCTGCAGAAATTTGTTTTCTTCCAATCATATAAAAACATAAAACTGAGCATCAATTGCTGTTACACCAAGATGCCAAAGTGTATAGAAAATCACAATTTTTTTTTATTAAACACAGAATATCGGTCTGGTCCCCAAACATAATGTATATTTTGTGCTTATAAAGCAGAATTATATTGATGTAATTATGCTATTAGTAATATTTGCAGGGACTGTATGGTTATAAACAATTACTATATGGGATATAATTTCTCCGTAAAAAATCCACCCAATTTCACTAATTGTCTCTAGTTCTGCTTCTGTTAACTGAACATTGTATACATGTTAATCTTATTATCAACCATGGCAAATTTAATTAACATTCATGTTGTAAATTTAATTCAAAACCAATGTATATTCTGATCAGCTTGTTTTACAAGTGTAGTATTTACATATTTCTTTCCAACACTGAAGTTAAACTACTATTCTAATATCAGTTAATAGGAATTTCCCAAATATGTCATTAAAGGCAATTCATTACTCTCCCAAAGAAATTTAGAAACCTGTTATTTGTACTATGCCTTTAGAGACCCCAATCAAAATCAGACCCTCATCATCCTGCATAGTGTACAAACAGAGCATTCCTAAAAGAGCATACACAGTAAATAGGTGAGATTGAAAAAAAGGAGAGAAACTTACAGGCCAGAAATTTATCAGGCTCAGCCAAATGTCTTAATCACAACACTGCCCTCCCTTTCTGTAGCTAAACTGCAATTTGTGTTAGAGAAACTTAAAAAGTACAGAGCTTTCCATTTTACTTCTCCAGATCCCTCTGTGTGGGAAACTAAAGAATGTTCAGGAGGCAAAGTGTGGACTCTGAGGGTAAGTCTAGACAACAAAAAGATTTTTCGAAAAAGCAGCTCACTTTTTCAAAAGAGAGTCTAGACACTCTCTTTCGAAAAAGCCCTGTTTTCATGCAATAGCATCTTTTTTTGAAAGATGACTTTCAAAAAAAGGCGTTATTCCTCATAGAATGAGGTTTACCACCATCGACAAAACCGCCATGTTCTTTTGATTTATTGTCGACAGAATGCGGCGATAGTCTAGACGCAGGTAGAGTTTTTTTGAAAAAAACCCGTGTAGTCTAGACACACCCCGAGAGACAAGGTTCTTCTGGAATCCTTCAGTTCGTCTTATTTCCTTGTACCTTCAAACATCCATGGTATGGTGATTTATTTTCTAGCAGAAGAGCTATGAACCTCTCTGAGGGAGTACTGGTAAATCAAGGTTACTGAA